TGAATTTGAATTTGCAGTTTTCAGCGCAGCGGTCGCTGCAGCTGCTCGGCTTGGCTGGGGAGGGCGCGGGGGTGTCTGCAGCCACCCCACGGGGCCGCGCCACGCTGCGCCACCGGCCGCCACCCCCGCCCCGCGGCCCGAGAGGGGCTTCCCATTGGCGCGCCGCACAACATGGCGCCGGGCCCCGCGGCGGGGCGGGGTGGGGGCCTCGCATCGATTTCCTTTGCCGCCCCCAGACTGGGCCCTCCAGCCCTCGAGCCCAGCGCGCTGCTGCCGCCCCTGCGCGGCCGCGGGGGCGTCAGCAAGCAGCCTCGACCAGGCCAGGACGTTTCCGTGCGCAAACCTTTCGCCACTTATGAAAAAAAAAATTCTAGGAAGGACAAATTTTAGAATGTAAAGGGGCCAAAATCAAGCATTTCCATTCGAAAAAGAATGCCAACTTTTTTGTGTCCAGAGGGGGCCTTAACTCTCTCCTGCGGAGAGTACACCAGATTGTTGAGATTGCCCGATTGTTTGAAGAATATTATGATACTTTTGGTCATAAAATGCCTGTAACTCGATTTTATGGGGCGCGGTGTTATGGGAGAGGGGGGGGGCGCATTTCCAATTCGATCCCTCCCCCGCCAGGTCTACGAAGCCGCCTGAAAAGTGTGTAATTCGGTGTACTAAGCCCGACAAAGTCCCTGTGGGCAACTCACCAACGGAAAATCGCACTACTTTTACCCTGTATGTAGGCAAAATAAATACATCTCTTTTCTGGATTCACCGCCATATCTAGAAATTGCAGAAGATTTCCGTAGATTGCCAAGATGGTATACATTCAGAGTTGGAATAGTTTAAACTTCTACTTTTCTGCCTACTGACTTGCTGGGCTTGTCAATGTTCTATCTTGCCTCAACTTTCACCTCTCTGATGCCTAACTTGTCCAGGTTAGGGATCATCCAGTAATACGTCCGTCAGTCCGTCATTTGCCGTTACGAACCTGCCAAGCTACGGTGAATATCGCTGTAAGTTACAGTGACTTCCCTGATTCACCGTAGCTTACGGTGCCAGCCACCTCAGCTTCCGATAAAATTCACCGTCAGCTTCAGTGAAATTCGCCGTAAGCTACAGTGCTGCAGGGTTCACTGTAAATAAGGGTGAAATCCACCATAAGCTTTAAACGGTGCGCTCGTCGCGCCCGATAGGTAGGCAACATCTTATCTGCAGTGCATGCGTGTACTGCGGGCTGGCCTACCCCGAGTGTCACAGGCGCCGAGCTCCCGTAATTTGCCGAATCCAAACCTGGGATCCGGACGTACTTCCTTGACGATCCCTTGAGCGGAGTTTCCCACGGGTAGAGAGCAGCCTGCTCCGTGGTCCGCCGGTGTGTTGTACACAGTGTGGTCCACAGGCTAGGCTCAGCTCGGCCAGCGGGACGCCCCCGCCCGCACCGCCCGCGCCGCTCGACATTTGATATGGTGGATATGAGCCGCCACCAGTGTAATCCGCGCATTATTACGGCAAGGGTAAGGGGTGCGCACGCCGCGCGCAGGGGAGGCTGCGGGGCGGGGCGTGGCAGGGCGGGGCCGGCTGGCGGCAAGTGATCCCCGTGTGTCCAGTTGTATCGGGTTTAGGGCGGCACCCCGAGTCTCGGCCGCTTCGGCCCGTC